TATTAATTATTGAAAATTACCGTCCAATATCTTTTGAAATTCTCTCATTGCTATTTGTTTCTCAATAAAATTATTTAAAAAGAAGAAAAACCACATGTAAACTGTTATCCATTTACTGTGATATGACTAGACACAATTTTGTTTCCTTTTTCAAACTTTTAATGTTATAATTTGAATAGAGATGTAACTTTTAATGAACAGTTATTTGTTTATAACATATACTTACCTGTCTAATATGCAGTCATGCAAGCAAAAGTTTTACGTATTATTAAACTTAAGAAGAACAAAACAGATAGAATAGGTATACTGCTACTTTCTCTTAATTTAATGAGAAGAAAGATTTGTAGTAGTAGTGCTTGGACAGGATATTATGCCTGCATCTCGTACTAAGAATAACCACTAAGAAGACAACAATATGCAATGTATTAATTATTGAAACTGTCCTAATAATCGATTTTGCAACTCTCTTTGCTCTTTATTTCTCAATAAAATTATTAAAAAATAAACAAAATGTTTTAGCTTTGATCAGAAAGGAAGCTTCAGGAATGCTACCACCAGAACCCAAAGAACAGAGGAGAAATTGGTAACTGAAAACACTAGCAAGGAAAGAGCTAAGTATTTCAGAAGACAATATAAAAGATGGCCAGAGGATAGCACAAGAACCAGGACGACTGCAAACTTTCAAATTTGTTGTTGCAATGGGAAAAGACTGCTTTAAGAAGAGACACCCCTAGAGTAGCATGTACTGTAATATCAGTGGTCTACAGAATTGGTTCCTTTGCATTAAGTTTAGAGTACTCAGTATCTAAGCATTTGACTTCTACATCTAAGAAAGAAAGAAGCATGGCTATTGATCCATTTGTTTGCAGACCCTGACTTCATCCATATTTCACATACATGAAGAATAGAAATCTTCTGCACACATTTCAGAAGGTCTGTGTGGGCACATCGTGTGTTCATGAGAGGGGATTGTGTGAAACTGTCAAGCCAAAGGTGCAGTGGACACTCCAGAAGTCTGAAGAATCAAGGAATGTGGATTACCCAAGGAAAACTACAAAGAAGGATCAAGACAGAGCAAAATAAAAGGTGTGGAGCTATAATCACTGGCAGTGGCAGACATGGAATCACAAAAGCCCTTTAGTTTGTGTCTTGTCACAAATTTCCTCAGATGCTGTACACAGAATTACAAGATTTAATGTTTTCTCTGCTGCATTTTCCATTTGATTTAATCCTATTCTTTTCTATCTCTCCATCATGTGTAACTTTTGAAGTGGTAATGTTTGTTATGGTATGGTATGTTGGACGTGTTTAACTTTTTTTTTATTTGCACAGAGCTCAAGTTTGCCTTACATCTCAGAGGAAACTTTGGACTTGGACTTTTTAGCAATGATGAAACTGTTGGGACTTTGGCAACTTTTACAGATAGACGAAGTGCTAAATTTTCCAACTTTTAGAGTGAGACTAAATGATAAATCTAAAGATGAATTAAAGGGATGTTCATGACTCCTTGGGAAGTCAGGGGAAGAATGTTGTGATTTGTGTCTAGATGAAATCGCAAAGTCTCATGCAGTCATATGTAGGGATTTTCAGAGGTAGCTGGATCTAGAAAGTGTGATTCAGGGATTGATCTATTTTGCAATGCTAAGATTAAGAGTACTTGGATTAAGTGTGTGTTATTACTGAATCAGTCAACTGATGGCTTTGGCAACTAAGCCTGGTATCATAGATACAGTTTAAATGGGGCAGAAAGAAGCTGCTAAGTTTCCTTGTTTGCTTTTGCGGTTCTCTGTCTGCCATGAATAGCTTCTCTTTTGCAATGCACTTTGCCACGTCACCCTGCCTTGGAGCCAACCAACTGTGGACTGAAACCTCTACAAACTGTGAGCCAAATAAACTTTTTCTCCTTAAAAAAGATGTAAATGCACCTGAAAACATACTCAGCCATCTTATCTTTGACAAAGTGTCCAAATATGTTCACTGGAAGAAAGATAGCCTCTTTAAGAATTGGTGCTGGAAAAACTGGCTCTATGCATGCTGAAGCCTAAAACTAGACCTGGGTCTATAACCATTCACTAAACCAAAGTCAAAATTGATCAAAGATTTAGACATTAAAATAAAAACAGTAAATCTCCTTAAGGAGAATGTAGGTGAAAATGTCGAAGACATAGAGCTAGACAGACAGTTCCTGAACATAAATCAAACTACATGAGAATTACTTCAAAGAATGATTAACTAGGCCCATATCTTATTATTGAGAAATTTCTGCATGTCAAAAGTCACCAACAGAGTGAAAACACAGTCCACAAATGGAAAAAAAAATTACCAATAATCTCTCAGACACAGGTCTTCCAACTAGAGTATATAAAGAACAAAAATATTACACCACTAAAGTTTAAAGATCCAATCCACAATCAGGCATCTGAGATGAATACACATTTCTTAGTGAAATTAATACAAGTGGCAAATATATATGTGAAAACATATTGCACAACATTGACCATTTGTGAAATGAAAATTATAACAACATTGAGATACCATCTCACTCCAGAAAGAATGGCTATCATAAAGAAATCAACTAATAACAAATGCCAGAGAGGCTGTGGGGACAAAGCAACTCTTCTCCACTGTTGGTGGGAATGCAGCCTTGTGCAGCTGCCTATCCCATTTTATATTCATTTATGTTCTCGAATATTTACAGAGAAGCCAAGATCTATCTAATCTGGATACAACAGCCACAAAGTACAGGTACACATAATCCTTATGGAGACTGAGTACTCTCTGCTGTACATGTGGCCTGTTGTGTACAGTGTCATTAGTAGCATTGTGTTAGGATGAATCTGTCTATTCTGTTTTTATGGTCTTCTTTCATGTCCATATCCCTGGTTGTGAAAATGTGGATTCCTGAAAGTTGGGAATCTGTTTTTGAATAATCTGTCTGTGTTACTATGTCAGTTCCTGTAGTGGAACTGTGGAAAAGCAACAAGTATTGATTCAACTTGTTGTAGATTTCAACTCCACCTTATCCATTTCCTTTCTCCCACAAGCTAACCTGTTGTCATGAGACTGAATTTGCCATGTTGGTGATTGATCTACAGGCCTTATCCTATGTGGTTTAAACAATACATGAAGATGTTTTTGTCCCCAAAAGCTCACAAAGGCAGCATATGGCTATACAAAGATGCTCACCCAGCTTAATCAAAAGAAATTCCATGGTTGCTAAATCTATAGAGTATTCTCCTAGGGAGTAGGGACACATGAGTGAAGACTAGCTGTTTTGTTTTATTGGTAATCTCACGTGCAGATAAATGAAGTAAATGGAAACAAGAAATAGTGGGATTAAGTGGAAAGGAAAATATAAATGTGTGAGGGGGATAGAATTTGGCCAGAGGAAGAAACAATTTTATTTGATGCAAGCAAATTGTATGAGAAAAGTACTAGATCTGGCTTTGACCCAAAGTGAAATGTGACAAGGGATCTAGCATTGGACTCAGGAAATTTTATGCTGATGTAATTACATGGATAAAGATCTATAGAATAAACTTGTTTAAAAGGACTAAAGTTAAATATTTCAAAGTGAGGATAGCAAAAGAGATGAGGGCAGGTGGGAAAATATTTAATCATCTCAGGTTTATTAGAGATTCCAATGAGAATGAATACTCTGAACTTTGGATGATTGCTGGTGTTCTATATTGATTTTCCCATAGACTACAAACGCAAACTAGATGTACTTGTTTGATTATCACTTGCCACACTAGAATGGGCACTAGACTTCTCCAAATCAGGCGTTACAAGGAGGCCCTCCTACTGGCTGGAGGTCATATCCCACCTCCTTTCCCAGACCATATATATTCCTGCTTTCTTCACTGATTTAGAGTGAGTGGTGGAGGTCTGCAGTTACCTGCCTGAAAATTCAAGAGGAGGTTTGAATAAATCCACAATGGATCTGATCTGGAACTTTTACAAGGAAACCTGGTTTTTCCTGGCTCTCATTGTCCTGCTTCTCTATCTGTGAGTAATTGTCCACGCCCCTGTTTTCTGTTTTCCTATTACCCTGTGCTGATGTTTTGAGCTTCCTTCTCTCATTGCCCTATTTCAGTGACTAAAAGGAGATGAACAAGACGGTGCCAAGTGTGATACAATTGACTTGAATTTGAACCTAGAATAACACATGTGAAGCTTACAAACAAGTGATACTTTATGACACATGAACCTTGCTTAATTTGAAAGCTTGAGAAATACTAGGACACAAAATTTAATGTACATCTGTCCCAGAATCTAGGCCTTGCTTATTCAGTTTGTTGGGGGAGCTATGGGAAGTCATGTGTCCTGCGGCATTGGGTGTTTCCTTTTCCCCTCCATCCCTAATCCACAGAACCTTGAATGCAAGAATTCCTGATGCATTCTAGGTTTTGTAGGAAATTTTGGCCCCATTTTTCCCTCTTATAGGCCTCACTTCTGTATCACATATATATTTTCCACTATGTGTGACTCTCCAGTGAAATTAGCATCCTTAATATGTCTCAGTGGCTCCATCCAACATTTCTCATAAGAATTTATTTTATATTGATGTGATTTTAGAATGGAATACTAAATCTCTACCCAAGTGTTGCAGAGCAATTTTAATACCCATATCAGAAATGCTGATGTTTCTCTTGAGTAATCGTCACACAGCTGTCCTTTTTCTGCAAGATTTGGGTTTCATTTTGTCACATTTTATTGAATTGAATTTATTATGTGTGTAAAGAATGTTTTATAAGTATTCATTCCTTGCCTGTAGATGAGAGGAAGTATGCACATCTTTAAATAGCTTAATTATATAATATGTATTTATCTTGTGTAATGCAAACATTGCTATCAATATGAAGCTTCATGAAATTTGGAAGGTCCTCTCTCCTTTACCTGTAAAATCTCGGGCATATAAAAAATTTATACATGACATATTTCTAGCCACTCATTTTTCAACTTTTCTGGGGAATATTTGTAAGCCTAGAAATTCTAAGGAAATGTGGCTTCCTGTTGCCTCTTTTCTCAGTCTCTCCTCTCTGTTCTTTCCACTAAGATCAAGAAATTATATCTGTGAACACCTGCACATGACAGAGCTGTATGTGTAGCCCAAGGATGCACCTCTTCATTGGGCTTTATGCAGAGACCGTTGATATAAAGCATTGCAGGAATCCAGCCCTCCCTGAGGAGATCAAGGTAGAGGGAGGATGGAATGAAAAGAAAGAAAGCTGGACTTGAGAGATCTGGATTGTAGGACCAAATATGAGTTTATTTTTCTTCAAGCTTATATACAAATTATCTTGACTCTGTGCCCAGATTTTTTTCTAGTTACCTGTAAGATTTCTTATTTTACCTCAGCTGGAATAGTTTTCCAGGACCAAGCTGATAAATAGAAGAAACACTGAGTCAATCACTGAGGCATTGTGCAAATCGTGGGATAAGGAAGCTGGGAACATTGCCACATTTTAATTATTTCAGACTGTTACTTCAGCAAGGTGAAGCCAATTTCTGGGTCTGGCCTGCAATATCTCTGCTTTTTAAAAAATTGTTATTTGTGAAAGGTGACCCAGATCTTATATAGCTACGCTTAGGCCCAGCCAATGATTCCTGGCAAAGTACAAAGTTGAATCAAAAATAAGACAGCTGGAATGATCACAGACCAGAGCCAAAACTATAAGCTATGCAGAAAAAATATATTTTAAACTTTTAATTTTTTTCTATTTGTTTCATTTTAATGAGAAAAAAGATAATACAATAATGTAGCAGTTTTAGGACAGGTTAGTATGGCAGGTACAATGATTGATATATTGCATATTGTTGTCTTCCTAGTACTTATTCAGAGGACAAGATGGAGACATGATATCTTGTCTAAACAATATTACTACAAACATTTCCTGTCATTGAACTAAGAGAAAGTAATTATATATCTATCCTAATTCTCTTGTATATACACATAAGTTTTACACACACACACACACACACACACACACGCACACACACACTTCTTTTATATATATCCCCTTTTGCTTTTGTTTTGTCAGAGATGATTGCTCCCTTGTTGTTATTTGTATTTGGAGAAATCTTTAAAGGACTTTTTCATACTTGATTCCAGACCAAAGATTTAACATTCTTGAATTCAGCAAAATAGCCCGATATAACCCAATAGTCCATAATAGTAGTGGGTTATCAGCACAACTGGAAATTGTCAGAAGTTGTTGATGTCAGCCTTTTACAGCTCAACTTATTAATATAGCTTTACTTTTATGCCTTGTGGTTATACTTTTCTGTTGGATGGTTAAGGTCAGTGAGGATTCAGGACATAACAGAAACTCTTCTGTGACATCCTGTAACAGTTGTGTCCCAAAATTCCTGATCAAGGAGATTATTGGGCCACCGTGAAAAGTGATCAACAATGTATAATGTACCTAGGAAGAGTCATATAGATGGAAAAATTCTCTCAGGCTTTCTCAGAGAGCAATATGGTCAAGTAATGATCTTGACCCATCGATATGGTTGACTCTGGTGAAAGGCCCACATGGTGGTCCTGGTACATGGTTCCAGGGGAAATCCTGAGGGGATTTGACTGACCTTGTCAGATAGCACAAGTTACACTTTGATTTATTTAGGTCTTGCTTTCACTTGGTCGTAACCATCTAGCAGAACCTTTTTAAAAGTCTACTTAATGCTAAAGTGGAAGCATCAGTAGTGGGATCATGTTCAAAACTCATATACACAATTTCTTTATATAATGAGTTAGGGTTAGACACACATCAGAATGGATCCACACTCCCATACTGTGCCCATCTATCTTCCCATTCATAACTGGTATTATTGTACAAAGTAAGAGTTACACAAATGAATCTATCAACCCCATGACAGCACAGGTGCAGGCTAAGCTTCAAGCTTGTACCTTCTACCATAAATATAAATCATGTACAAATTTGGCACTTTGAACTTCCTACTGAAGGCAATGGCTAATACAGACACTGCTCTTGGAATTTCCATTACAGCAGTTATACTCGCAACTCACAGTCCCATGAAATGCTTCAATCTGGACAGAGCCTTATCTAATTTGATAATGCAGAAAGAGCAGAGTTTCCATACCTGGATTCTTTTAGGGTGACAGGTGTAAGAATACAGGGGGTCTGTTCAAGCAGTAAAGCAATAGTACCTAGACACAGCTGAGATATAAATTTAATAAAAGAAAATCCCAAGCACTTCAAATTATAAAACAAGGAGTTCAATCTGTCAAACATGAGGGGATCATGGCAAAAAAAGCTGCAATATATTAGTTCCCAAGAAGGGGAGGTCCAAAGGTTATCATGATTCTTCACCCTCTGTCCCCAAAGTAAGTTTCCAACCCAAAAGCCCTCTGACTTCTCAAGGATGTTTACGATAAAACACAGGGGTTCTCCCATTAAGCCCTGTATACCTGGATCATACATGCACTTAATACACTGTGAGGTTAACAATAATGAATTAGCATAAACAAGTGAGAAATTGTTTCTTATTTTAATTTTGTACCAAAACCATTTTTAAGAGAAAACCTTAATATAATTTTTATTTGAAAAACTTTAACTTAGAAACAATGATCAATTTATTGAGGGTGTCTTCAAAGAGACTATGGAGATTATTGAAAACTGCAATGAATAAAAAGGTTGTTCACACCTCTTTTCATTAATTGCATGCTTGAACCCTTTGAAGAATTGTGTACACCAATTTTGATATCATGTGACTATCTGGTAATTTAGGAAGAAACATACTTTTAAGTTTAAATCTTAAATTATACTTAGAATAAATTACCAAAAAAAGAAGAGAAAAAGCTGTTCATTGAAAGACACATAAAGAAAAACATAAAATACACAAGCAAACATCTTTATAAAATTAAGAATGCACTCTAAATCTTTGGCCATAATTAAATTATAGCAATCTATTAAAAGTTTTAGAAATTTATCATTATAAGTAGCCTAAATGTTTTTTTTTTCTGAATTTTCAGCTATTTCTCCTTAGAAAAATTTAGAACAAATAAAATCTTTTATTTATAATTAGCATGAATGCATATTTTGGATTTTTATATATTTTTAAGCTATATTAATACTAATAAAATTTAACACAATAATTTTTACATATTTATCACCTATTTACAACTTAGGTTTCCATTTGGTCAGTTCCTTGAATAGGTCCTGTGCTGGAGCTATCCTCATTGTTGTTAAATTTTTCTTCAGGTCTGACTTCATTGTACAGTCTGACAATACACTGTGGTACCAGAATAGGTTAATTAGCATTCTCTGGAAAACACAATTATAAATTGTTCCTCAGCTTAGCAGTGGAATGATTCCTTTCCATCCAAAGTATCCTTTCTCTGTATCTTGTACTATGCATAACCACAAATAAGACAATAATATGAAATGCATTAATTATTGAAACTGTCCTACTAATCAATTTTGAAACTGTTTCATTACTATTTTTCCCGATAAAATTACTATTAATAAATAAATAAAATATAAAAAGAAAGTATCTTTCCCATTTTTTAAAACCTGGATTTTCTTTCTGTTGCAGTATTTTTATCTTGGCCAAGACTTTAAAATTTAATAGTACATATTGACAAGCAAATATGTAGTAATTGACTTCCCTTTTGCTTTAATAGAATCTTGATCATATGGTGAGAACCCTGTATTTTACATTTTGGAAGAGAATACAAGACACTTCTTCACTTAACCTAATATGACCTCTGTGAAATTAAAGTAAATGAATTTAACTTATCTGCAAGAAAAAGATAGTCATTAACACCAGAAATATTAGCCTGAAATCTAGGTGGAGCCTATTAATACTACCACGTAAAGTCTGAATATCATGAATGTTAGAGCTGAAGAAACATTTGGGGCACAATATATCTTTATTGCACAAGTTGACCTAGATATGAAGAAGTGATCAGAACTTGGAACCCCTTTTTGAGGCCACCACTAGGTCTTTTATTATTTAAATGAGATGTCAAAAATCAAATG